GTCGTCGCCGTCGCCGTCACCGTCGCCATCGCCGTCGCCATCGCCGTCGTCGTCGTCGTCGCCATCGTCGTCGTCGTCGCCGTCGCCGTCGCCGTCCTTGTCGCCGTCGTCGTCGCCGTCGTCGAAGTCGTCGTCGTCGTCGTCGTCGTCGTCGTCGTCGTCGCCGTCGCCGTCGCCGTCGTCGTCGTCGTCTCCGTCGCCGTCGCTGTCGCTCGCCGTCGCCGTCGTCGTCGCCGTCGTCGCCGTCGTCGTCGTCGTCGTCGTCGTCGTCGCCGTCGTCGTCGCCGTCGTCGTCGCCGTCGTCGCCGCCGCCGTCGTCGCCGTCGTCGTCGCCGTCGTCGCCGCCCTCGCCCGCAGAGGTCAGTGGCCGCCGTCGTCGTCGTCGTCGCCGCGCGTCGCTGTCGCCATCGCCGTCGCCATCGTCCGTCGTCGGCCGACGTCGCCGTCACGTCGTGTCGTTCGCGTCGTCGTCGCCGTCGCGTTCGTCTGTCGCCGTCGTCGTCGTCGGTCATCGCGTCGTCGTCGTCGCCGTCGTCGCACCGTCGTTAGGCCGCCTCGCCGCAGGAGGCCTGGTGCCGTCAGCCGTCGTCGCCGTTGCACCGTCAGCGCCGTCGCGCCGTCGCCGTAGTCCGGTCGGCCGTCGTCGGTGTCGCCGTCGTCGTCCGTCGTCGTCGTCGCCGTCGCCGTCGGCCGTTAGCCATCGCCGTCGCCCATCGCCAGGCGTCGCCGTCGTCGTCGCCGTCGCCGTCGTCGTCGCCGTCGTCGCCGCCCTCGCCGCAGGAGGTCCGGCACCGTCGTCGTCGTTGTCGTCGTCGCCGTCGTCGTCGCCGTCGTCGTCGTCGCCATCGCCATCGCCGTCGTCGTTTGACCGTTGCCGATCCTTATCGTCGCCGTCGTCGTCGTCGCCGTCGTCGTCGCGTCGCCGTCGTCGTCGCCGTCGTCGCCGCCCTCGCCGCAGGAGGTCCGGCACCGTCGTCGTCGTTGTCGTCGTCGCCGTCGTCGTCGCCGTCGTCGTCGTCGCCATCGCCATCGCCGTCGTCGTCGCCGTCGCCGTCGTCGTCGCCGTCGTCGTCGTCGCCGTCGTCGTCGTCGCCGTCGCCGTCGTCGCCGTCGTCGCCGCCCTCGCCGCAGGAGGTCCGGCACCGTCGTCGTCGCCGTCGCCGTCGTCGTCGCCGTCGTCGTCGTCGCCATCGCCATCGCCGTCGTCGTCGCCGTCGCCGTCGTCGTCGCCGCCCTCGCCGCAGGAGGTCCGGCACCGTCGTCGTCGTCGTCGTCGCCGTCGTCGTCGCCGTCGTCGTCGTCGCCATCGCCATCGCCGTCGTCGTCGCCGTCGCCGTCGTCGTCGCCGTCGTCGTCGTCGTCGCCGTCGCCGTCGTCGCCGTCGTCGTCGTCGCCGTCGTCGCTGTCGTCGCCGCAGGAGGTCCGGCGCCGACTCCGAGGTGTGGCTCCGCTCCGCCGGTCGAGGCGGGCGGCGTGGGGCCACCTCTCTCCGCGAGCTGGGCCTCCGAGGGCGCCGCGGGCCGAGCCTCCGCGGGCTGCCCCGCGAGCGGCGGCTACAAGATGGGGCCCCCGAGGGGGTGGGGCCCCGAGGACAGGCGAAGAGCGGGAGGAGGAGGAGGAGGAGGAGGAGGAGGAGGATGAGGATGAGGATGAGGATGAGGATGAGGATGAGGAGGCGGAGGAGGAGGAGGAGGAGGAGGAGGAGGAGGAGGAGGAGGAGGAGGAGGCGGAGGGCGAGTTCCTCCCCTGGCGTGGTTTTGTTGCAACGCCCCAGATCTCAGGGGAGGTGGTCGGCTGCACGCAGGAGTGCCCCTTCGCCAGCTTAGCCTTTGGTGCGGCCTCATGGGGGGGCCCAGCACTTGGCAGGGTTCGGGGCACAACCAATTACATTAATGTTACTGCTCTGAGCCCCGCGCGGATTGCTCGGACCGGCGCTGGGCCCCCCTGGCGGCGCCTCCGTCGCGGTCCCTGGCGCGCTCCGCGCGCCAGGGAGGGGGGTCCAGCACCGATCCAAGAACCCCGCGCGGACCTCCGGGTTTTTATGTGCATGTCATTGTTCTCTCTCCCGGGGGCCCTTCCAGGGCCTCGCGGCTGTCAAAAAGCGACCGGTCCCGGGGAACGTGTCGAGACCTCTTGGGGGTCCACGCAGTGAACAAATGATGTCGTCGGGGGTCGGGGCCCCCCTTCCCCCTTCTCTTCCCGCAGTCGAGGAGGGAGGGAGGGGGGCGAATGCGGGGCTTCTTCAGAGGAGGCGCAGACATGAAGCGAGGCGCGTGGACTGGCGACGGGCCCCGCTTCCACACACACTCGGCGCGCTCCGTCGCCAAATGAGGTGGCATTGCCACTCGCACGCTATCTTTCCATACAGGCCTGGAGAAAAATGGGCGAGCACTCTTTTTTTGATCTGCGGGGCGAGAGCGAACCTCTTCCGCTAAAAGCTAGGCGGGCTTATTCACAAAAATGGGCGAACACTCATGCAACATTCATCTGTCAACGCCTCCCCCTCCCCCCAATGTTGGAAGGTTGTCGGTGGGTCGGATGAGCTGCACTTGGACCGCAGTCTCGGCGCGTGCCAACTTTATGTCGGGGGGGAAGGGGGAGTGTTCGGTAGTTGTTTCCCTGAACCGTGGCAGAGGGGTCCCAAGCTGAATCATCACTGGTTGGCTTTGGCAATGGCATTGGCACGGTGCTCCACATTTCGTAATGAAAGGGAGGACCACAACCCTCCCAGACAGGCAATTTTAGACCTCCCCCAGTCCAGCCATGAACAGGCGGCATCTTGCCCAGATCCCACCCTGGGACCCTCCGAGACCGCTCAAATCAGACCCCCCCAATGTGACCCCCCCCATCTTTCATTTCGAAACGTGGAGTATCCTTCCAGTACCATCCGTACATAGCAGAGGGCATGGCAAGATGGCAAGATGCGCAGCTCCTGAGAGGCCCGACAGGGGCGCGCAGACAAACTGGCGCAGGGCTCCTCGAGTGAACGGGTACGTGCACGGCTCGGTCGTGCCGAGCCACTCTTGTCGACCCCTGTTCGGCGGCTAGCGAGGTGGGGAAGCGAGAAGGAGAGGGCCTTCCCAGGAGGCTCGGGAGGCTTCCGACCTTCTCTGAAGTCTTCTGAGCCGTATCCGAAGATGCAGGAAACTTCTCAGATGGGCGGCTGGCTTTGAGAAACCCCGCCGCCTTCTGAGAGGGCCTTCTCCTTCTCACCTCGCCCCCTCGCCCGCCGCCAGCAAAGATTCCGTATCGTTTAACCGACCCTTATCCCCATCCTCATCCCCATCCGGACCCCCACCATCTCAGCACTCCAACAGGGGATATACCCCTGGAGGCACGAAGGAAACAGTCCATATCCCCATCTGGGGGGGTAAGTTGGCCAGAGGGGCCAAGGCCACGCCCAGGGGGACAGGGGTCGGTTCAACGATGCTCAAAGATGCGGCCCACGAGGGATGGGGTCCTACGGTCGGCGTGGGAACGACAGCGTGCGATGGGGTGGCGCCGGCCCGCTTGTTGTGCTTGGCTGCCGATTTTCGACCTTCAGGTTTGTCTTGTTCGGACCCTTCCCATGGCCCACCTGATTCGATCTTGGCTCGAGGCCTAGAAACGTCCTGCTAAGATTGCTGCTGCCACACTGTGGCGCGCTGCCTCAGATAGTGTGCGCCGAAGAAGCGCTGGCAGGGGGCCAGCGCGCACAGGAGGCCCTCTCGCGGGGGGATCGCCTCACAGGGACAACGTGCTCTTCGGTGATCGATGTTGCACGCTGTCCTTCCAACGCCATCCGCAGGAGAGGGCAGGCAGAGGGAAACAATTACTGAACACTTCCCCCTCCCCCCCAAACTCAAAGTTGGCACGCGCAGGGGAGACTGCGGTCGAGGTGCAACTCATCAGACCCACCGCCAACTTTGATCCTGCGGCCTCTTCCTCCTCCGTCGCACCTGCTCGTGGCGGCCATGTTGTCGGAGGCGCGAAGCGAATTTTCTGGACAACTGCGGGCATGGATCTTCGCCGAATCCAGACATGCTCGCGTGGTGGCAAAAACCATGACAGCCTGGTTCTTGTGCCCTTTTTTCGGCCTCCAGGGGCCCCCCCCTGCGGCTTTTGGACCGGCGGGCCCCAGGACCGTCCACAAAAGGACTCGGGATGAGGAACCGGCCCCAGGGAAAGGGTCGGATCCCTGGTGACCCCGTATCAGGAACATCAGGACATCGGATGGGAAGAGGGCCCAGAAGCTGGACTCGGGTCGAGTGCAGGGGGTGGGGGATCGGGACGGTGGGAGTCGCGAGAACTCTGCCGCTGCACTGCGCTGGCGGCTCCTCCGCAGTGGGCCGCCGCCGCGCAGAGAGCGCTAAGGTATGACTGCGCGTGGCGGATCTCGCGGGGCGCCGTGCACGAGGCTGGGTGACGCAGCACAGGGAGTGTCAATGACACGCCGCCGCTGGGAGCCCGTCGGCGTGGTATGTATTCTTGTGTTTTTCTCCGATGAGGTTCTCTTGCACGCCGGGCAATTTGCCTATCGTTTGCCCGGGTTAGCCCCACTCTGGTGCGGATTGCCTCTGCCTCGCCGCCGACGAAAAATGTTTCTGTCCGATGACCTGGTGACCTGGCGCTTCTGATTTTGCTCCCCCAGCCTGTGGTTCAGGAGGGTCTCTAGCATCTGGACCACTCCATGGATCTAGGCGGGGAAACGTATTCGTGGCCGAAGTTCGCCGCGGCCATCCGGAAAAGCCCCTTCGTTCCTTTCTTGGCCTTTCTCATGGTCGCAAGATAACTGTTTTGCTGTGGGAGGACGGGTGAGGCAGGGTGTGTTGGACTATTCGGCGCAAGGATGGCCTCCCAAGGGCAGGGGGGGCACATGATATTTGGGGGCCCCGCGCAGTCATGCCAGTGCGACCCAAGCCCATGCTGGGGATGGCGTGCCGCTGCGGCCTCTGCCGCACGCCTCACTGCCGCTGCGAGGGCTATACTTATTCCCTGGCCGCGCCTCCCCCTGCCTCGAGGCCACTGGGTCGTGGGGCCTGTTCATGTTGGACCCAGCGGGCTGGAGGCCACTGCTCCAGCCGTCATTGTGCTCGTGGCAAGCGCCTGGCTCCGCCAGCCCCCATTCTTGGCTCTGGCTCCATCCTCCCGTTCAAAGAAGAGTTGCCGCTGGGTTGGGGCTCCACATTCCTAAGCATTGAAGATCGACAGATCTTTTTCCTGGTCTTGGTATTTTGAGCACCTCCAGGGCATCGAAGACGCCTACGGCGAGTCACCGCCGTGGCCCCTTCCTCCCAAAACGCCTGGGCTGGTGAATGTCGAGCGATGCTGCGGCAACGGCAGCGGACTGCATGTACCCCCATCCGTTGGGGCATCGAGCGGATGGGCCCTCTGCGGTCTGTTGGGTCTACCTCGGGATCTTTTCGGGCCTGGGGCCTCCTGGCGCCTGCTCAGGACATCTTGGCGCTCTCTTGGACCGTCTTGGGGCGCTCTTGGGCCGTCTCGCGCCTTCTCGGAGGCCTTCTTGGGGGCCTCTCTGGGCGGCCGTCTTGGGATCATGTTGGGGCCTTCCTTTTGGGTCGTCTTGGGGTTTGGGGCCATTTTGAGGGCTTGTCGGGCTGTCTTGCGCTGTCGGGAGTCCGAGAAGGCGACAGCGCAAAACACATGTTTTCTTTGAGAATCGATGGTTTTCGCCTCCTGGGACCCTTCTTGGGGCTCCTCTTGGAGCCTGCTTGGGCCGTCTTCGAAAAGTCTCGAGCCATCTTGGAGAGCACTGGGCCAACTTGGACCCACTTTGTGGCCACATGGGCCCTCTCGGAGGCTCTGCTGGCTTCCTCTGAGGCGGCACCCCCGTTTGCAGCCCTCGTTTATGGTGGGTTCCGCGTGGCCGGCGGTCATGCCGAAAACGACATAAGCCAGGCGTGCAAGTTAGTACCATCTCGGAAAAACAGGCACTTCTGGGCCAGGTTTGGTTTTTCAGAGTTTCGGGAAACTCCAAGTCCCGGGCCTGGTTAGCTTTTCCAGGGTTTCGCGACACTCCAAATCTCGACCGGGGTAACCTGGCTAACCCGCGTAGAGTTTTCGCAGGGTTTTCGGAAAACTCGGAAGCCCAGGCCCAGGTTAGTTTTCCCAGGGTTTCGGGAAACTCCAACCCCCCTCGCTCAGGTTAGTTTCTCCAGGGTCCCGGGAAACTCCAAAAACCCTGGGCCCGGGTTTAGTTTTTTCTAGGGTTTCGGGAAACTCCAAACCCCGCGCCCGCGTTAGTTTTTCCAGGGTTTCGGCAAACTCCACACTCTGGGCTCGGGTCAATTTTTCCAGGGTTTCGGGAAACTCCAAACTTCGCGCCCGGGTCAGTTTTTCTAAGGCTTCGGGAAGCTGCGAACTGCAGGCCCGGGTGATTTTTTCCAAGTTTTCGGGGAACTCTAAACCCCGCGCCTGGATTAGTTTTCCCAGGGTTTCGAGAAACTGCAAGCCCCGGGCCCGGGTTAAGTTTTTTCTACGGTTCCGGGAAACTCCAAACCCCGCGCCCGCGTTAGTTTTTCCGGGTTTTCGGGGAACTCCTCACCCCCGGCTCGGGTTGGTTCTGGACCCCCTCCCACATCCCCCCTGTAAAATTATTCGGAGGGGTCGCGACCCCCCCCCCGAGAAAAAATTGTTCGAGGCGTCCAGACTCCCCCCCCAGACCATAATTTGACGGGTCCAGAAGCCCTCCCCCGCTTCCCGGCAAAGACGACGACGCCGCCTGCCAGCGACGCGGACGACGACCACGACGACGACGACCGACCGACCGACCGACCGACCGACCGACCGACGACGACGACGACGACGACGACGGACGACGACGCCGACGCCGACGACGGCGACGAACACGACGACGACGACGACGACGACGACGACGGACGACGACGGCGACGGCGACGACGACGACGGCGGTTGACGACGACGACGACGACGGCGGCGGCGGCGACGACGACGACTGACGACGGCGACGCCGATGCCGATGCCAGCAACGACCACAACGACGACGACAATGACGACGACGACCACGGCGACGGCGACGACGGCGACGACGTCGGCGACAATGGCGACGTGGCGGTTGACGACGACGGCGACGGCGACGGCGACGGCGACGACGACGACAACGATGACGACGGCAACGACGACAACGACGACGACGATGACGACGAAGACGATGATGGCGACGAGGAGGACGCTTATGACGATACCGATGACGATCGAGCCTTAGTGGGATGCGATGAAAGCTGGATCGAGCACTAGTAGGGTCCTTTTAACGATAGATCGAATTCTAATCTGGTTTATGAGAGTTGGATCTAGCCCTGTTCGGATTGTATAGAAGATGGACCGAGTCCCAGTAGGCTTCTAGTAGAGCTGGATGTAGCTCTGTAGAGATTTTACAGTCTTGCCGGATCATGCCTTATTCGAAGTTCATCAGACCTGCATCCAGTCCTGATTTGATTCTAGCAGGGCTGGGCCCAGCCGCATTAGGATTCTATTAGAGTT